TCAAATTTTCTTCCTTTTTTACACTAAATTAAAATTAAAAAATTTAAAAAATTATATTTACAAATTAATTTAAATTACATAAAAATTAATTTGGGCATTACAATTTATGATATTTGAAAGAATGTGGAGGTTTTATGGAATTTAATCTTAATCAAATGAAAGTCAATTAATGAAATAAAAAAGGTGGTGTGGGTAACTCGTATATAACTTTGTATGAGCGGAAACCAAGTGTTTCGTGGTTCGAACATGTCAAATCTCGTCTCAACCATCATTTTTTAGGATTGTTAGGAGTAAGCTCCTTGGTTTGGATAAGGCATTTAATTTATATTGTTATTCTTATATCTCAGAGGGAATATATTTGGTGGAATAATTTCTTATATGTATTTCCACATTCCCAATTATTAGACCAACTTTTTACAAGTAAGTAGAATCCTTATGCTAAAAATAATAATTCAAATAATCATTTATTTTGTATCTGACAATAATTATGAACTATCATTCTACCGCTTATTGGGAGATTCCATCCATAAATGCAAAGTTTACGTCTGACTAGTATTACTCATCACCATTTAGTTATTGTATTTGTTTTTCTCCTTACGGGTCATATATATAGAATTAATTTTGGAATTTAGCATAGTCTAAAAGATCTTTTAGAATCATATAATCCTCTCACTCGACAATTGAGGGCATAAGTGTCTTTATGACATAATTAATAATTCGATTAATTTTCAATTATAACTTGCTCTAGTCTCATTAGTAGTTATTACTTCCTTAGTAGCTCAGCACATGTATTCTTTACATGTTTATCGCGATGGGAGATTTTGCTCATCGAGTTATATATTTTATTATATATTACAATTTGAAACATAATGAAGAGAATGTATTGACAATAATGCTATTTTCATGATTTATTAAATACATTTATTTGCATATATATAACTTGAAAATATTAGGTGATAATATTAAAATATTATAATTTTACTAAATGATATTAAATAATAGCTCATGCTGCTTATATTTTTAAAATGTTGTACCATTAAATTAGGTAGTTCTTCCATGATCATTTTTCTGTTGAATACAAATAACTTTATAATTTCTACTCAACGATGTTAACAAATATAACGTAAATCTTATATAAAATCATAAATAATTATTAACTTTCTTTACATGTTCAAATGATAATGACATTGAAATTGAGCACCGTTTAGAAATTTTTTTTTTAATCTTTATAAGTTAACATAGGTCTACACAATGATATTAAAAAAAAAAAAAATACCACAACTTTTAAAATTTATGAGAGTTAACCTACTTGAAATATAGTAATGACCTATAATATTTAAGAATTTTAAGATACTATAACATTGAATTATAAAATTTTGAAATTATTTTTCTTTACGAAAAAATGATAAAAATTTGGAGTTTATAAATTTAAAATTTATACTATTAACTTGAGAATTGTTTTGTAATAATTGTTAGTTTGAATTTTCTTAAGTTTGTGAATTATATGCAAGGATTTTACGAAAACATAACCCGAAAATTTGAAATTAGTTTACAAGAAGATCAGTAATAACTAGTAATATTTAAAAATTTTAAAATTATAACATTTAACTTTATAATCCATTTAAAACTAAATTAATTTTTAACTTATGAAAATAAGTAAAATTAACAAGACGATATTAAAAAAATTAGAATATTTTAAAATTTCTATACATAATGTAAAGTTTTTTAAATAAATTTATGTATTCATATTATTTCTAATAAAATATATTTTTAAAATTTTTATAAATTAATATTAAATATTTATTTTTTTACTATATAGTCGCTGATATGACTGTAGAATATAATTTTTTATTTAATAAATATGTATAAATTCTACAGTAAAAAAAATTATATGATAGTACCAGTAATACACATTTTATTTAAAAAACTAAATATTTAAACAGTTTTAAAATAAAATTTTATAAGGTACAAACAATTTTGATGTACTTTTAAAAAAATATAACTATAAACTTACAAACTATCATAATAAATCATCACGTTTAAAACTTCAAATATAATGAAACACACCCATGTATGAGCTGTGATAATCCTTGCACTTACAATGGATTTTAGATGGAATTATCAAGCAACACTGTCGTAATAGGTAAAATTTGAAAAGAAAAGAAAAAAAAAAAAGCGACATTGATTTTAGTTTCTTTTTAAATGTAAAAAATAAGGGTCAAAACTGTAAATAGGTAAAAAGAATGAAATTAAAATACATAAATTCCTCAAAAGGCCCAGTCTAAAAGCCCAGCTCATCCTACAGCCCAAACCTGACGGCGAAGACAACGTTAAAATGCGACACGCCCAACGGAACAACTTATAGCAGAGCGTGTTTGGACTTTCAGATCTTCCAAGTAAACTTTGGGTAAAACTCAGCTGGTTTCTAATGGAAGCCTTCGGTAGTTTTCTCTTGTAGAAGGAATCATTCACTATCATCTCGCGATTTGCGTATAATTTATTGCCTGATCCAAAACCTTAAATTTCGCGAATGGAAAATGCATATGCTAGATCGGTCGACGAGGTAATTCGCACCTCTCTCTGCATTTACATGCTGCTCCAAATCTTCTCGTAATTTTTGATTTCAATTTCGGTTTTTTATCTTCTTTCCGGAATTTGGTTTGGAACTTGTGCGGATAAATTTTTTTTCTTCAAACTAGTGGTTTTTGTTGTGTTGTTGTTATTTTATTTTTTTAATTTTAATTGCTTGATTTCACTAAATATGATCTTACTATTTCGTATAATCGTGTGGTTTAAGTCCTCTCATCAGGCCGGATTCCCGTCTAATAATATGCAGAATGATAATGTCGACAGTGTTTCAGAAGTAATTTTCGGTGTTCACATTTTTTATTCCTATTCCTTTTTGGGATTTCAATTTCCTAATTTTAAGTTCGTTTCGATAATTTAGTCTGTATTGTTTTTTTTTTTTTTAAATAATCACTGGGTCAAAGCTGGAGTGTCTTATTCTCCTGTTGAATACTGGTATAAGTTTATAAACTATTTGAAATAAATTGGAGTTGGTAATGCATGTTTGAAGTTTGAAAATAGTCTGTTACTTTTTCTAAATTTGTTTAAATTAAATAATTTATAAACATATTCTTAAAAAATCACTCTTAACAGTTTAAAGTTGATAGAATTGTAAGAAACTGGATCTCATATTCTTTTGTAACATATGTTGTTCCTACAAGATTGCATGTGTCTGGCACGGGTATGGAACCAAGTTGTATGTCTTGACAACTTTTATAGTCAAATATAGAGGTTCTGTAAATGAGAGTCCGAAAAATGGAATTGTGTACTTAAATTAGCTTGATATGGGAATTAAAAAACTAAATGAGAAGCTAAGATGATGTCGTGCATGTAGCATAATACAGCTTTTTGCACAAAAAAGATGCAGATTTACATCTCTGATGGAAATAGAAAAGAAGAGAATTGAGATAAATTAGTAATATAAGTGATTTGAGTACTTAATATAAAAGAAAATTTCAAAAAGTTTAGACATTCAAGAGCCTGTCTTTTCATTTCTGTGTTTTTTCAACCCATAAATGAGGAGTCTTAATCATTTTCTTGATATTACCATGTTAATAACCTCTGATTCTGGATCATCAAGTATCTGACATGCATGTCAACGATCAGGTATAGATCACATGCCCAAACTAATGTTGTATCCGCCACAGGTATATTAAAATTAAAGAGTCTTAGCAACATAAATGCTAGCTATATCTATTTTGAACTGAGCTAAGCACCTTGAAATAGCTTTTTTTTTTCCAGCTTTACATGTGGCACTCTTCCTCAATCATCATAGCTTAAATTTTGATTTCTTAGGGAATTAGTCAGACCTAAAAGATTGCTTATTGCCTCTGTGATAAATGAGTTGATTCTTCTAGTGTAGTCGTCTCTTCTACTTTTCGACAAAAAAAGTTCTCTTTCTTTTTCAAGAAGCTCTTTCTCCACAAGAAGGAGAAGTTATAAAATAGAAACAACTGTAAGGAGGTTCTTTTCTTACCTGTGTATGTATGTAATATTATGTATACATATACTTGAGTTGGGGTTAGTGATGTGAAAACATTTTCTGAAACTGATCAGTGTCCATTTTTTAACAGGTATTGGATTTCTTTGGGGTAGACCCTACAAAGGGTCTTTCTGATTCTCAGGTATGCATTTCTTGTTCTCCTAAATGGGATTAGAATTTTTATTGTGTCAATGGAAGTTACCTTTCTCTAGGAGAGTAAAGCTATTTGTGGGTATCTGTAAGTCAGTATAAATTGGGCCATGTTCTTAAATCTTAGTTTGAGCTTCAATGAAAGGTGTTGCTTCTTTTGTTATCTACAGGTTGCACGGCATACCGGGCTTTATGGTAAAAATGGTATGCTTTCTCTTTGTAAAACTTGCATTTTCATTTAAAACAATGTACTTGTCAGATATGACATGGCATGCTTATCTCAGACAGTCTAATTCTACATGTCTGTTAGAGAACTTTTAGCATTTTATACTATCTGCAATTTTTTTCGAAATAAAAAGTGTAAAGATATATATCAACAAGGTAGAAAAATGGGGGTACCACCCATTTACAAAAACTTTACAATGTAGTTAGTGAACCTATGACACTTCCAAAGTCCAAATCACTAATCATATCATGTCCTAACAAAATGTATCCAAAATGATGCGTCCACCTATCCCTCAATTTATACAAATCGGTTTCTTTTCCCTCAAAGGTTCTAGAATTCCTTTCTTTCCAAAGCACCAAAAAAATGGTCAATGGAATAAGTTTAAAAGATCTATTTCCTGAGCACAAACCCTCCCAAGCCCACAATTCTCCATAATAGATCTCGCCATCACCCAATAAATCCCAACAAGATTATAAATAAGGCTCCAAATGTTAAAAGCCACTGGGCACCACAACCAAATGTGGTTACAAGATTCTTCGCCCTGCTTACACAAAAAGCATCTGTTAGGAATAGCCAGTCCCCTGATTTTTAATTTAACCTATTGTCAATATACTATCTGCAATTTGATAACTAAAATAGTATGAACTTCTGGTAGTTGTTGGTCTTGGGCTTGCCAATAGTGACAAACCATTTGGGGGGCTCAGTGGGACTTTGGCATTTGTCTGCATGTTTTTTCTTTTTCTGAAATAAAACATGTGTATGCATATTAATATAGGTACCAATTGGCGCTGCCCACTTACAAAAAATTTACAGATCTATAAGTCTATTTAGAAAGTTCTCTAAGTCCATAGATGAATTAACAGATTGACCCGTCAACAAAAAATCAAGGGATCTGGATCCATCTATTCTTAAGTAAATCAAAACTGTCTACATTCTTTATCCCCTCGAAAGCCCTTTTGTTCCTCTATTTCCACACAATCCCGGAAAATGGTAAGCGGAATAACTTCAGCTTTGTTTACATCCCATATATATAA